TGTACTTTTGATACATTGTACCTCAATATATGAGTGTCTAACATATTGTACTTTTGATACATTGTACCTCAATATATGAGTGTCTAACATATTGTACTTTTGATACATTGTACCTCAATATATGAGTGTCTAACATATAGTACTTTTGAGACAGTGTACCTCAATATATGAGTGCCTAACATATTGTAAAGCTGGCCTTTACATTATCCTACGTATTAAATCATTCAGTAAAACAGGAACAATCAGTTCTTCGTGGTAGACCAATTATTTCTGCACTCAGATCCCTCTGGTTAGAAATAAAGTGATCTGATAAGCTCAAGTAATGTTTACAGTTGAATGTTTTCTAGCCTTTTGTTACAGAACAAGCGCGTGAAACGAACGATAAGACATGATAGATATAACGGTTAAATGACAAAAGATCTAAGGCCAAAATACGTCAGGACAAATGATATCACGGAAAAATGATTCGATAACTAATATCAGTGACACAATTAATGATATCAGGAACAAATTATATCAGGGACAAATGATATCACAGACAAATGATATCCGGATCAAAATATTTTCTCTGCGACACTTAATTTAGATCTCGTCTAATTTGGTTTGAATATTTTTTCCGTGATATTTTTATATAAATTTAGTCTTATAGGCATTCAATTTGTTTGAAATATTTCATATGTGATTTTAGGAGAATCTGGTCTTATACATTTTTCTAATATATAGTCGGGGTGTTTTTTGACAAATTTGGTCATACCAAGATTAGTTGATATTTTATGACAAAATTTGTCTTATGCATTTTGTTAAAATATTTAGCCACTGATTTTTATTAATACATTTGATCTTTTACATTTCGTTTAAATTGCTTAGTTTATATATGTTTTAACAAATTTGGTCGTATACATTTTATTTAAAATATTTGATCTGTAATATTGTTTTCAGAAATTAAGTCCCACGCATTTTGTCTAACTTACTTTGTTTGAATGATGTTTTGAGATATTTCTTCATATTTAATTAAGATATTTTATTTGTAATATGTTTTAGATATTGTGTCTGTCTATCAATCCAATAGCCGAGGTATCATGGTTGGTCATCAAAGTTTGCATTGTATGATGCTCTGCAAGCTTTTGCTGTCTTTTTAG